GTATATTCATTTACCTATGTTAAACAATGATGTTGTAGACATTGAATAATAAAGAAAATTTTTGAATTGCAGTTATTTGGAAAAATTACATTTGGTTAGCGATTGCAACGTTAAGTATGATTTTTGTGATTTTATTTGGCCGATATATGCTTTCCATGCGTAATCGACGAAGTCGTTCACAGTATCAGATGTTTACATAAAAAAAGTCAATCAATCAACAAATCAGTTTAATAGGCGATAGTGCTTATGATGATGGTGACGATGATGATGATGATGATGATGATGATGATGATGATGATGAGATTGATGATGATGATGATGATGATGATGAATAAGAAGATGAAGATGAAATGGTTGCTGGCAAAGATTGTTGTGATCAATTTATAAATAACAGTTTTGCAGTTTTTTTGCAAATGAATAAACTATTTTATCAGATGATTGAAATACAGTTTTTTTTTTTATTCTGCCTTTTTTTTTCTTTTTACTTCTATAATAATTGCTTTTGGTTGGCTGATTGACTGTAGGAAAAAGAAACACTTCTGAATTATTCAAAAAAAGAAAGAAACTTATATCTTTTTTATCATTTATTTTTGAAAACTACAGACAGACAAGAAGTAAAAAAGAAGAGTAAGAAAAGAATCAAATATTCCATCTATTTATTTATCTTTTTCATTGAATAAATCAACAATTTTGATTCACTCCATTCTGCTCTTCGTATCCTTCTTCTTCTTCTTCTTCTTCTTCTTCTTCTTCTTCTTCACCTTTCTAATAGTGTTGTAATTGAAAGGTGTGTTTTTAGGATCACCGATAAGCGTTAATTGAACAGTAAAGTTACTTTTTTTCTGGATATTTCTTTCACAATTATATAATTTTTGACAGATAAGTGCATTAAACGTGGTAATACTATTGTATGTTTGTACTTTTGGATTGCTGCAACAAGGAGTAACTCTGTGTTACATGAAAGATAGACTTTCATATTAGAAAATGTGCTGCAATTTAAACAAAAAAAAAAAAA